AGAGAAAAGGAGAGAACCGCGGCCCCCTTTCTCGCAAAAGGCCGTTACGCCATCGCTGTTTGTAGAAGCAAATTCCAGCCAATCCCGGAGCTCGGTTTACTTTAGCGTAGGCGTGGTCCGTCAATGGCAAAATGAGCCTACGAATCTCAAAGCTCCGCGGATTTGGCGCCGCGTGCATAGCATTACAAAAAAAAAAAAAACTCAGCAGTTTCTCTTAAAGTGCACGGTAGTGTTTTTTGTTGTTATTGTTTTTTTTTCACGGATTCACGGTACGGGCCACTTCGAATCAAAACTGATTGTACTTGCAATTTTCGGCTATAGTCGAACATGATTGGGTCTACAAAATAAATAAATACGAATAACAAGTGGGATAAAAATACCAGCACTCGTAGATGTCGGTTTAGAGTGTTTGTCTTAACCTAACGTGGTAGAGCTCGGGACCAGTCGTGTTTTCTCAACCAGGAATTGTCAGTGCCCCCCCCCCCCCTCCTTTCTTTTTTTCCCGGGTGCTCAAAGAAGTGGAATGAGATATCGTTCAAAACAGTGAGAACACCCAGGAAACCACAGAAAGAAGGAACTCACTTCAGTTTAATAGAAGTGTTCTGTTTACTTAAGGCCCCTCGGTTCTGCCTTTTTGTCGCACGGCAAGGGAATGCTTGTTATCGTTTTCTAGAAACAATATTTTGACGGAGCTCAGCTGTCTCAGAAGTGCCCGAAAACACGTTGTAGATTTCCCTTGAGAAGATAGTGCTCGAGAAAAAAAAAACCACGGTGGCCAGAATGAATTGCCAATCAGCCACAACGTACGAAACATCAGGTCCTGGTAAGACGTCGCCGGTGTACGCCAAGCTTTTCTGCGGGAACCGGAATGCTGATTCGGCAATCTTCATCCCACAGGGTGTGCGATTCTCCGAGTCTTTTGTTAAACACGCTACGTGATATATGGCTCGCTTGCAGCACTCTGTCGCGCTAAGCTATTTTTTTAGTGCATAGCACTTGACAACACTTCATTGCGAGTACCTCGTGCTCTAATTATTTGCCGAGTGGCGTTTATCCAACATCTGTATTCGTCACGAATTAAGTCTGCTGCCTCAATTGAGTCGATGGCCGGAAAACACGTTTCGAATGCGAGTAAGCTCGATAGTCATATCAAAGGCATGCTCACTATGGCAACCAATTTTACAACGTTATTTTTACGCTATAGGAGTCCAGACGAGTGCGTTGAGACGAAGGCACAACTTTGTATCAAACTTAGCATATTTGTAATAGAACTTCGCTCGTTGCTCTTTAGAATCGGCGCGATTGTTTCATGGCGTGCCGTATAGAGCATCGATTGATCGCTATGCAATGCACGTGTTGGTACTCGCAAACAAAAGTCGCAGCCGGATGTCCCGAGACGCTGGTGTTCGTGTTTTGTTTACGCCTGCAAACTCTCTTGGACACTGTTAGCGGATTGCCTCCGCGTGTGCAGCTTTATTGAGTATGGACGTGTCGATATTATTTCGCATGTCGTCAACTTGTGCACAAAGGAGTACACGAATTGCAACATTATCCAAAAAAAAAGTGGCGAACACGGGGCATCTGGCTTAGAGTGTCTCATATTTAACATCAACGGCCTCCGACATGATATGCCTTCGACCAGACACACATATCTAACGTTCCGATATATAGTGTATTTTTCTCCTTTGTATAACACCTGCAACTTTGGACACCCGGGCCCGCAACTTGTACGGTCGATAAACATGTTCTCTGTTGCCTCGGCAGGTTCACGCCCTTTCCGAAGGCCCTTTGTGAAATGGCGCAACACGGACAGAGGTAACTGCCGCAGAGGCGCTGCCAGACGCAGCAGCAGACGCACGTAGATCTGTGGCAGGCACACGCACATGACTCAAGCGCACGAGCATGTCACGCAACAAGCAAGGCATGCGGCTTTGACTTTCGAAAGTGCTCAGGGACCGCTGTGCGCTCCATGGTCGACTTGTGCTCGCATACACTATGCACAATGCATTTCTAGACAGTTTTTCTGTGTTAATTCAATTACCCGTTTCGATCGTGAAGAGCGCACTGACAGGCTTAGTAACTTATCAGGGGGCAATCATCACGTGGTTGCATCATTGCGACAAAATTCGAAAATGAAGTAACATGTCGAGTAGGGTTTGAGGTGGGGTGGTAAATGTCGGTGACACAATAACTCATCTTGTCGCCTTTTCTAAACTTCCTGTGTCATTTCTCAAGCTTCACGCTGCCGGTTTGCAGCGACTTTCACGACTACGAATAGAGACACATCATTGGTGCTCATTGGCTGCTTCTTTCTGTCTTACTCTCTGTCCAGTATGACATTTTAGAAAACGCACAATTATAATATTGTTGTATACAGACAAGAAGTTATAGGGTGTATATCCTCAACCCCCAGAGGTATTTGTAGATGAGATATAACTGCCGTATTTTATCCCGAACGAATAGGTAAATTGCTCACGTGTGCGTAATATCTTTGTGGTATACCACACACGCTGCGACCAAATATTGAACCATATTTAATCCCCGCGACGTCTTTGAGATGAACGCCGCTTTCTGTATTCCTTGCGCTGCAGCAACAACAGCTGGATCTCGCACGAGACAAGAGCTTTGAACGAACACGCAAATGCGTTAGGCATAGGCGTAAGTAACGACGTTCTTTAGCAGTTATCGAAACTATTCGCCACGGAGGAAAACGTGACCGTTAGTTTGCGCAAATGAATGGCCACAGCCGTAAGTATCCCACATGGCCACAGGTGGCCGGACGAGGAAAATGCGTAGTCAGTCGAGATAAAGCCAGACGTTAAGGTAGCCGTAGTATAAATGGCTATACCGGTGAGAAAAAGGCGGGTGCATTCACATAGCCCAGACTTTCAAACTATTATTTCCAAGAAGTTGGGGCTTGGTATGAGGCTGAATAGCACCGATTCACGCAAGACTTGGCAGCTTTTACCCACTCACTTATGCTTCTCAGTATACGTACTGGATCACTGCCGTGCACCAACTTGCTATCACACCCACCATAGGCGTAGCCAAGACACAAGAAAGAGAGAGAGAGAGAGAGAAACAAATAAATAAAATAGACAAGAAGGTTAACCGAGTAGAACAACATGTTTGATAACCTGTACAGAGGTGGGGAAATGGAGGACACAAAGTTACTTAGTTGCTACTTATGCACTAGTGTTTTGAATAACCCTGGTTAACAGGACTGCGTTGGCAGTCACTTGTTCCTACCTGAAGTGCTATGTATAGTCCCAAAAGCGTCGCCATGTCTCATGTTTCTCTGTGCCATTAATATAGTTTCAACTCAACCAACAACCTAATCTTAACCTGGTCGATATAGAAATCCCGTGCATCAGCTCCCTGTGAATCTGACGCGTAGAAATAACTACAGATGTTGCATCGTGTTATTTGACGATTCCTTGGAAATGGACGGCTATATACTGGTCACATGAAGAACTAATTAATTATTTGCGTCCTATGTTATATAAACTCCGGGACTACTTCGCTGCAATTCTGACGTTTGTACTTCAGGAATGCTCATGTCCTGCACGAAATCAGTGTAGCACAATAAGCTACATCTTGCAATGGTAGCTACAGGACGATAGTTATAGCGCGAGAACAGAATGACGACAAAGAGACAAGAAGGACACTTTGTCGTCGTTCTGTTCTCGTGCTATAACTATCGTCATGTCATACCGACTAGCCCAAACTGCCACACTTCTAAGGTAGCTGCAGCTTACAAGACAGCAAAGGTGTCATTGTGTATTTCTTTTTCTGGACAAATGCGTAATCTGTCCTAACGACGGGTATTACGTGCGTCGAATTGTCAGATTAGTCACTGCGGTTGATGATATCTTGTGAAACTTGCTTGTAGTAAAATATTAATCTAGTCTGTGAGCTGTCACGCACGAAAGGAAATTAAGTATGCTTGACAAGACGTGCTTTAAAGGTTAAAAAAAAAAGTGCCGGCGTAAGTTTTCTCGTTTGCCGCCATATCGCGCAGAAGTTTGTTGGATAATAAAACGCTGACCGCCAGCAACCTTTTATTATAACAAACCTAAAATTTACGCTTACGCGAAAGGAACAGTTTATGAAATGTGAAATTGGCGTTTACGAGTATTAAAACTAAATAGCGATGAAATGTTTGCCTGCTGCCCTGCTGTTCCCAAAAGCTTACACTAAGTGGCCAACACTATACTGATAAAAATTATCTCACTGCCCAGAGAAGATGAATCATTGTTGTTAGAATCATTGGAGACTTCACTGGCCACGAAGGTGTTCCCACGTGCTTAAAAAAGTTCAATTAACTAGAAATTTTAACCAAACAATGTAGTTCTATGGACTATAGAAAACGCTGCCTCGTGAGCAAATATAGTAATTTAGAACTCCTCCAATATGTCGAAACATACATAACGATGCATGAGATAAACGAACCGAAGATTTAAAAATGTATTCCAGCTGTACATGTTCAATACAACTATACTTTAGCATATGTTAGGTCGTTTAAGTTCTTGCATCTAAGGCAGACTGAGTATGTTCTTAGACAGAGTCCAAATCAAACAGCTTGACCAATGGGTTCTGCTGAGCGGATAATCCATTGACAAGTCGCCGAGAAATCTGGTTCCTTAGGGAAGGCAACGTGCTTGCTTGAACACCGGACGCTATTTACAGAGTGGCCAAAGCGCACTCTCCTAAGTAAGTCGAGAGAAAGACTGTTCGAACCTTTAAGTTAATCCTCGCTGATCCTTTAGACCGAGATGGATTAGGTGAGCTCGCGTTTCTTTAAGGTGGCACGCTCGCACCCCACGGCGCACCATGTCGCACCAAGTTTAGAGCGAAAAAAAAAGATATCCCGTTCACTGATCACGCTGCATGACTAAATAGTGGTCGCTAAGCCGGCTGCTCCAGAAAGAGTGGCCGTACGCTGATGACAAACGTACAGTCTCTGATTTCACGCACTTTTTTATCTTTGTTTTCGACAGCGATCAAGGCTGCCCTGCTCATCCAACGCTGGTATCGCCGCTACCTGGCCCGTCAGGAGATTCGCAAGCGCTGCTCATGGAATATATTTCAAAGCCTCGAGTACGCCGGGGAGCAGGATCAAATTAAGGTAAGTCCTTCCTTGCCTGTGCTGCAATTTTTATGTTGTTGTTTACGACCGTCTTAAGTTTGTCACGCGCCTTACTTAATCAAGAAGATGAGCCTCGTTCGAAGGATGGCTTGAGCGTCGTGTTTTGTGTGTTTCTGAGTAATGCAAAGATTAATTCGCGTCAGCCACGCACGGACGGGTAATCCTCGCATGTAATCGGAACTCTTGTTACGGCTATAGCCCTAGAACACGGCTTTGGGTCCTTAGCTGGCGCCTGGCGCCCTGCATTAAGTCCGGGAATTTCGTAACTGTGGAAGTTCTGTAGGAACTTGAAACAGACATTTAGGGTGTTTATCTGGTAAGACCTTCAGCGCCCTCAGCTTTATTAATCATCTTATATTTATTTACGACGCCATTCATTCGAGTGTAATGTGGTGTTGCAGGAAATTATTAAGAAAAGTAAAGCATACTGTGACGAGCGAGGTAAAATATTCTTTTGAAACGTCAAGTGCGTGTCAAATCGCTTATTTAGGGGTCGAAAAGAAAATGTGCGTTGATGTGAGAATGCCTCAGCTCGGTTATATATAATGTAAAGACACGTGCATTGCTTCATAGAAATTATTGAATCATTACGTGACTGCCAATTTTTACATCACTGTAAACTGAGATACTTTTTCAGTACTTATATCTATGAAACAAACTTTCACGAACGGGTAAAGTGACCAAGATATGTGAACATGAGCAGTGTGGCCACTGAACACTAAGGTTTGCTGACTGTGTTCCAAGAGAAGGCAAACCTTCTGTTCAAGGAGGAGAAACTTAAGGGGGCAGATGAGATTAAGGAGTCAACCCGGTCCTGTGTTTGCTGCTGCAAGACCATCCGTATGCATGGTCTGCTGCTGCAAGCACAGGACCGGGTAGACTAGCGCTGCATGAGGGAGCCTTTTGCCCTTTAGCGGCGTAGTCAGGCTGATGAAAACGATGCTTCTGCTGCTGATGATGATGACGAAATTGACATGAAGTTGTCAGTGCCGACTGTGTTGAAGGTAAATTGTGTAAAGTGGGATTAAACTAACACGTTCAACGGAGCGGCGGCACTTGTGTATTTTTCATGATTACAGGTCGCATGAAAACCTCTTGAGCTCGCACGCGCTATCGTGTTACTTTCGTTTCAATACTCAACTGAATTCCAGCCGTTGCTTATTAAACTTCGAGGTACAATTGCGGCCGTGGTTACCAAGAAACCTTTCGCTACGTGGTGCAACGCTGCTGTGGGTCGTAGTGGGCTCTTGGCTTTTTCTAACCAATGTAGCGTCGCACTGACATGGCTAATTCATGTGTGCTAAATCGATGAGTAAAAAGACCGTCGATCTCGTCCTCTGTCACCGTTTCCCACTTCGATAAATAACGCCAAACTCTGCAGCATACCTTGGTTAGAATAAATGATGGGCTGTTCACAGAAGCAACGATATTTTTTCAGCCAAGATTTCATGTTTGAATCTCTCAGAAAGCCACACCAGCTCCATCGCAGTACTCGAAGGTGGCAGACTTCGATGGGTATAGCGTGGTTGTGGTGGTAAAAAAGGTGGGAGTGTCACTGTTACGGATGAAACCCTTTATTGGAGTAGCGCGTTCTCAGAAAATCATCACTGACTGCACAAGCAAGTAACCGTCACGAGACAAGCATAGCGGCAATTGTAGGGTAGATTGCTTGAACAGACGTCATAGAAACAGCCACGCTAGAGCCCCAACATGGCTGAACGTGAACTTTGCATTGTCATGCTAGTGTTATAACTAGTACCTCGCAAGCTGGTTCTTTCGTTATTGATGCATAGAGGCCTAATACAGTACACTGAACGATGGTTCTGAATGATCCACGTACACGTGTATTCTGTCGCTTCCCCGTTATTCGTTACCTTAATTACAAAGCCGGGCAAAGCCTGGTTAACTTTCATGGACTTCCTTTATCGCCTCTTTCTGTAGTTCGCGCTTAGTCCCTTCTTGTGGGGTGCAGCAGCAATCGCGAGCTCTCTTAAGGACAACCCAGAGTGCTCGAGGTATAGCATCATAGCGATGCTTTGAGTGAGCATATACTTATCCATGTCTGCGTCCAGCTTCTCATTACACTCACCCTGCTCTCTGTCGGACGGTAGGTGATGTTTCCGGTTACGAAGTTACGCGTAGGCTACAATTTACTCGTCTACAACGTGGGCCTAATTACCGCGCCACGATTACGCCCAAGTCTCATTAACGTAGCTACGCATAGCCAATCAGGCGGAGCCGTTGCTCGGCAGTTTTGAAAGTGATTTCTACGCAATCCTGAGCGAGCGTGCGCTGTGTACACGTTCCACGCGTGGATATCGGAGGTCAAGCCTTTATTCTCGACGCTGTCCAGGTCGTTTGACGCGCCCGATTATTAGGTAGCCTCGGTGGTCGCGACCGGTTTTTTTCTCGCGGCACGTAATTCGTAGGCGCGGGAGAGGGAAGGGGGTGCCTCTCTGGATGCATGCACTTCGCTTCCTCCTAGCATCGTCACGCCTGCAGCGTCCCATCTACAGTGACGCTGAACTAGGCGAAACCGAAACCCGCATCTTGGCATGAGTACGCGCATCCACTCGAGCGCTCCGAACATGTTTTGTCCATTTTCCGAGTCTCGGTTTCGCATTGACAAGCATAGGAAGACTAGAAGATCTCTTCCCGGAGAAGCCATGCGTACCGGTGACGTTTGACGACTGCGGCAGCCTGAGAAGTTTTGGCTGGTCGCGAAACTCTCACCTCAGAAGAAAGAGGAGCAGGAAAAAAAAAAGAGGGAGAGAACGTTTTATACGCAGTGACAAAGTTTCGGCAGAGTGACTTGTTGTTCGAGTTGGTTCATTCTTAACGTAACTTATAGTGCGAAAAAAAAAATGGCCCCCAAATCTGCATGTTACACTGCAAATATCGTCGAAAGACGATAGATAGTCTTGCGTCTGGAGAGAGTGAACAAAACGTTTATTTGATGTTCTGCGCAGGAGAATCGGGGAATGGTATTCTGGAGGCACTGCGTTAGAGTACCTCGAGCGGGTAGCGGAGCCGAACGAGTGCATCGAGGCGCGTTATACACCACGTTAGCGCCATCTGGTAGTTATCCTAGATAACGGAGGCGTGCGCGCCTGCGGAGAAAGATGCGCGCCTGTCTCGGAGGTGATAAGGTGTAGAACGCAAAGCGACGGGCAGGTGCCGCCACCGTGTCGTCTTAGCAAAGCGTTGGAAGCACTTACCTTTTTGAACATCGTGTTGCACTGTCAGCGCAGCGCGATAAACGCTACAGTCCTTAGAGTTACTTGTGTGTTATTCTTCTAGTATAAAGGCAGACATACAGAACATCAGCGTGTTGTTATGGCGCCTCAGATATGTGCAATAATTTCTTTTTACTTGACAATCACACAAATATGAATGCTAAACTTCGAGCAACATTGGTGGGCGCTGCGGATGGGGTTGGCCGTTTAGTGTCGTTTGAGGTATCGTTAGGGCAGACAAACAGACAGACAGGCCAAACTTTTTCCGTCAAATGTCCCCAAGAAAGACCATCGTCTTTAAAAGACGAGTCGTCGTCGTCGTTGGCCCGTTGTGACCATCGGGTCTGGCGACTTCGTCGGTGGGCGACTCGTCGGCCGATGGCGGACGCTTGTCCTTCTCTCGTGTTGTTGTTTCTTTTTCACTATATAAGCTACGCTGACAAAGTTTCACAGTACTCCATAAAGTGCGTGCTATTTCACGGATCATTTTCCACGATGAGTGGCACACTGATGTGCTCCATCCTTTCGTGTATAGTTGCCTCTCGGTCCAGATCTCGCAAAGAAGCAAACGTGTGGTGGCTGCTACGCAACGATTCCGTAATTTCTCCTGAAAACAGCACCATTTTTTCTTGAATAAAGATTGCGTCCATTTTCTGCGGTATATACACATTGCGTAGAGATGCTCACTCCGGGTCAAACTCGATCGGTCGAACTTTCGGGCCCTGTTTGAAGACGTAGTTCTGCAATATCGCATGGCACACACTCGCAGTCAACGCTCTAAGTTAGGGGAAGAAAAGGAGCTTTTGGGCCCCGCTACGGTGGCCCAGTGGTTATAACACTCGACTGCTGACCCGAAGGTGGCGGGAGCAAAAATGTTTGAGAACCGTGTACTTAAATTTAGGTGCACGTTAAAGAACCACAAGTGGTGAAAATTTCTGGAGCCCATCACTACGGCGTCTCTCGTAATCATAAGGTGGTTTTGTGATGTTAAACCGTTGGTATTATTATTATAAAGGGAGCTTGTGCATCTTCAATATTCTTTTTTTTTTCCTTTTCCTCCCGGTTCTCTTGCCACATTTTTAACCTGCTTTATCAAGAGGCCATTAAAGTAACAAATCAGCATCTCCTTTGATCTCTTATCTTCAGCTTCGTTAATCAAACGAATGGTTGTTATGAAACCTCAAAATCGCCTTTTCTATAGTATGTGCTTGGTGTCGCTATGCCTCCTCTGTTAGTTTTCTGTCCATCTGAAATGCTACCTGATATGTCGGTGTCCCCATTTGATGGTGCATGGTGTTAATTGTGTTCCCTAACGTTACGGCTTCAAACTCATCCATGTGTATATGTTTGTGCGTCTGGTTGCGTGAGAGAGAAGGAGATAGAACCGCGATTTGGTACTCTATCAATATCTTAACTCTGTATTAAACACCACCCTGCGTAAATAGATCAAGCCTAACCCAGGACTGAAACTTCGTTTCAATCTTGCGTCACACAGGGAAACCAACAAGCGAACCGAACGCAAGTCGAACAGCACAACTTCCACGCAAAACGATGTTGCTCGGGCCCATGCCTTCCTTAAAGGCCAATGCCTGACTGAATCTGGCGTATTCGTGGGAGATCTTTTTGGGCTCGCTGGAAATCAACACATGCTCACAAGCACGATAGTATGCCACTCGAACGAACTCGATTGGCCAAGAAAAAAATATATAAAATATTGACAAATCACATGTATTGCGGGAATCA